CAAAAATTAAATATATCCTCAGAGTTCATATTCCTATTTCCCTGAGACAAGATATTTGCCATAGCCAGAATAATGCTGCAGATCTGATCAAAAACTTTAGACATCTCCACAATTGGTGACTTGTGGTCTGGTTTCTCTTTGAACCCATTTTCACACACAGCTCCATCATTCATGGCTGCTGCTACCCATGTCTTGATATCATGATACGCTTTGAACTCGAGCGCCGTGATCGAGTCCTCTATTTGGTCCGTCGCGTCCTGATAGCTCTCCAAGCAATCCGTCAAACACTCATCCATGAAGGTATCCATTTCTGTCTTGTTTTGTAATTCCATTAGGTGTTCATGTATGAGGCTCACATTCTCAGCTGCAATATACAACATGATCTCTGTTAGCCCATATAGATCTGTGCCATTGCTGTTGGGAGATGACTCTAAGATTGATAGGCATAGGTCGTTGTAAGGAGTGCTGCTGCAGGTTTTGGTGATGAGATCGGCGTTGGTAAGGAAGGGCTTTTGGGGGTTGTCGGCGAGTATCTGGAAGTGGGTGATTGATAGAATTGTGATAGCCATGGCAGCAATTGATATGAGCTTCATGTTCTTGAGGTTTTGGTTGGTTGGTTGGTTGGTTGGTTGGTTAATGATGATAGAACTATGTGTTGTTGGTTGAAGATGAGATGATAAAGTTGAGATGGACATGTTTTTTGGTTGTTTCTTGGTTGGGATTAGCTTTCTATTTTAAGGGATTGTTGAATTTTTCAATCAAATTGGTTTGTTTGTTCTTGTTGGGGATTTGTTTTTAGGAATAATAGTGATTAATGTAACTTAAATGACTAATAAATGAACTAAATTAGAGGGCGGCCCGACCTAGATCCATGTGATGTCCCGGGCCCCAGATCCATGTGATGTCCCACATTGGTTCGGGAGGAGAACAAAACACTGGGTGTGGAAACCTTGCCCTAGCGGACGAGTTTTAAAGCCTTGAGGGGAAGCCCAAAAGGGAAAGTCCAAAGAAGACAATATCTGCTAGCGGAGGATTTGGGTTGTCTCAAATGGTATTAGAGCAAAACACTGGGTGTGGAAACTTTCTCGTAGCAGATGAGTTTTAAAGCCTTGAGGGGAAGCCCAAAAGGGAAAGTCCAAAGAGGACAATATCTGCTAGCGGTGGATTTGGGTTGTCTCAAATGGTATTAGAGCCAGATATTGGACGATGTGCTAGCCTTTCTCGCTGTTCCCTGAAGGGGAGTAGACATGAGGGGGTGTGCTAGTAAGGAGGTTGGGCTCCGAAGGGGGGTGGATTGTAATGTCCCACATTAGTTGGGGAGGAGAACAAAACAACATTTAGAAGGGTGTGGAAACCTTCCAACCTTCTCGCTCTTCCTCGAAGGGGAGTAGACATGAGGTGGTGTGCTAGTAAGAACGTTGGGTACCGAAGGGGGTGGATTTGGTGGCGGTCTCACATCAAGAAACAAGTGTCAGCAAGGATGCTGGGCCCCGAAGGGGGGTGGATTATGATGTCCCACGTTGGTTGAGGAGGAGAACAAAACACTATTTATAAGGATGTGAAAACCTTTCCCTAGCAGACGTGTTTTAAAGCCTTGAGGGAAAGCCCAAAGAGGACAATATCTGCTAGTGGTGGATCTAGGAGGGGAAGCCCGAAAGGGAAAGCCCAAATATGACAATATCTGCTAGCGGTGGATCTGCACCATAACAACCGTCATCCGTGTAGGGGCGCTTTACCTTTACCTGAAATATAAGAATAGCACATGGCTTAGGTACTATAAGAAATACACGGTAAGTAAACCCATTGTGGGGTTGGGTAGTGCAAATACACACATACATGATGGGACATATTTTTTAAAATCGTAGCATGACCTTGAGCTCTTTCCAATTTTGGGCAGGTTGAATGTGTGGTACTTTTCCACATACGGCCCGGCACGAGCACATGGACCCACGAGATGGGCCCGTATAGGTTTCCTTGGGCTTGGCTTGTTCGGGCACAATGCACTAACGTGTCGCCGGACGCCATAGAAGGGGAAAGACCCGCATGATATCATTCCAATATCAAAGTACGCGTCCGAACTAACGTAACATAACAGGGAAGTATCTACATAACATGACATCATACATCATTACATAATATATATAAACACAACATAGCATTATGCCGCATGCATGAGTCACAGAGCATGCGTCATCATACATCATACAATTCTTCCAACTCGAACGATAAGCTCACTTACTTGGTTGGTCTTGGCCGAAGTCCCTAACAATTTTGTGACTACTCCAAGACTGTACTTTATCCTAAGACTATATTATAAATGAGTAACTAGAGTCTTACTGTCCTTAAATACCCTATGTAATGTCAAAATTAGGTTCCCAAGAGTAAAAACGTGATATAAAAATTGTATACACAGCCGAATACGTCGTTTTCAAGCCATTGAGTTGCACCGGAGCCAAGCAGAGAGCATGCAGACAAACAAGGCGAGCTGAGTCGTGGCTGGGATGGAGAATGCATCTAGCACATGGGGGTTATGGAGCATGGATGGTCACTTGGGTCGAGACGCGAACTTCGAGTGGTCAGTTTGCCTGTGTCCCTCTCTTGGGCCAAAACAATCTCATTCCACACTTTGCACTCCTCTTTCTAAAATCGTGCTTCTAAAGTTTTAGAAGGCTCTTTAACTCTCTGAGTCCTTTTGGGAGGCTTCCACGAGTCTCGAAGAGACTTTGTGGAAGCTCCCACAAGTCTTGACCTTATGTTTGAGTCATAGCAAGAAAACTTTGTAGAAGGTCCCACAAGTATGGGTCACGGGTCGTAGATTGTAGGTTACGAAACGTTGGGTCACGGGTATGGGCTAACATGAAAATGGTACGAAGGTTGAATCACATGTGTGGGCTAGGTTGCACGTAGTTGGCTACGAGGCATATTGGGCTGCAGATCATAAATTAAAAATTTTAAATATATAAATTTTAAAAAAAATTGACGATTAACAATTTATATCGGTTGAACTATGATCATGTAAGTATTTTTTTAAAAAAATATTTATTAGGATGTAAATAAAAAATAAAAAAATAAAAAATAATTTTTTTAAGCTTATTTTTCAAAACTCAAATACTAAAATGACACATTTTAAAACCTCACGTTTTTATTAGTGTCGCTAAGTTAAATTTAACTAAAAAACTAAAATAAAATACTTTTTAAATCTCAGAGACCAAAATGGTCATATAACCTAAACATGGTCCGTGTTGTTGGGTTGGGTTGGATTAGGTTGAAGGATTTTTTTTGACCCAACTCAAAAATTCGGGTTGGTTGGATTGGTAACCCAACCCAACCCTCTATTTTTCGGGTTGGGTTGTCGAGTTGTCAATTTTTTTTTAAAGTTTTATTTATCCACCATTTATAATTATTCCGATACAATCTTAGATAAAATATATTAAAAATTCACAAACCGATCTATAATTATTCACATAAAAAAATCAATAAAAAATAACGAGTAAAAATGGTAACATATTAACATAATTCAACATTATCATAAAACGGTTAAATACGACATTTTTTGGGAATTAATTAAAATAAAAAAATATTAAAATAAATCATTAAATTCAATAAATAATAAAAATGATTAATTTAAAAATGTTGTATATAATAAAAATAAAAATACTAATAATATAAAAAAAATTAAATAAAATAAAAAAATTAAAAAAATTAAAATAAATCATTAAATTCAATAAACAATAAAAATAATTAATTAAAAAATAATGTATATAACAAAAATACTAATAATATAAAAAAAAATTAAACAAAATAATAATAAAAAATTTAAAATAAATCATTAAATTCAATTAACAATTTATTTTAAAATAAAAAAATTAAACAAAATAATAATAAAAATAAATTAATGTAAATCATTAAATTCAATAAACATAAAAATGATTAATTTAAAAATGTGTATATAACAAAAATACTAATAATATAAAAAGAATTAAAGAAAATAATAATAAAAATAAATTAAAGTAAATCATTAAATTCAATAAACGATAAAAATGATTAGTTTTAAAAACACTTTATATAACAAAAATAAAAATACTAATAATATAAAAAAAATTAAACAAAATAATAATAAAATAAATTAAAATAAATCATTAAATTCAATAAACAATAAAAATGATTAATTTAAAAATATTGCATATAACAAAAATACTAATAATATAAAAAAAATTAAACAAAATAATAATAAAAAATTAAAATAAATCATTAATTTCAATAAGCAATAAAAATGATTACTTTAAAAATCTGGTATATAACAAAAAAAAAAAACTAATAATATATAAAAAAAAATTAAACAAAATAATAATAATAAAAAATTAAAATAAATCATTAAATTCAATAAACGATAAAAATAATTAATTTAAAAATGTTGTATATAATAAAAATAAAAATATTAATAATATAAAAAATTAAACAAAATAATAATAAAAAAATTAAAATAAATCATTAAATTCAATGGAACAATAAAAATAATTAATTTAAAAATGTTATATATAACAAAAATAGTAATAATATTAAAAAAATTAAACAAACTAATAATAAAAAATAAAATATATCATTAAATTCAATAAACATATTAATTAAAAAAATAAAACGAAATAATAATAAAAAAATAAAATAAATCATTAAATTCGATAAACATATTAATAATATAAATAAAAAAAATTAAGGTACCATTGTGCGAAACCTATTAAATATAAATTTTTTTAATATAATTTATATATTTTTATTTGGTTCAGGTTAATCTGAAAATTTTATCTATGAAATCGAATCGATACAATTCCGAGTTAACCCAATCTTACCTAAAATGACAACCCAACCTAATCCTTTCGGGTGAGTTGGTACGTGTTGTCGGATTGAATATACACCCTTACTACTCTTACTAAACGACAAGCATTATTTAATATTATAACAACCTTCTATATTTTGTTTTTATTGTTCGAGAATTTATTATTTTTCCTTAAAACGAAACGAAGAACAGGTTGAAACGCTACAAGTCCCGATGATTTCCGACGCCATAAGAGATGAATTCAACAGAAAAGGAACCAAAATCAAGGCATAGCCATGGACACAATCCAGCACAGAACCGTGAGCGTCAATGGCATAAACATGCACGTAGCCGAGAAGGGTGAAGGCCCCATTGTGCTGTTCATCCATGGCTTCCCAGATCTTTGGTACACATGGCGCCATCAGATTTTGGGCTTGAGTTCACTCGGTTATCGCGCTGTGGCGCCGGATCTTCGCGGGTATGGCGATTCTGATTCCCCTGATTCGATTTCTAGCTACTCCATTATGCATATTGTTGGGGATCTTGTTGCTCTTGTTGAGAGTCTTGGAGTTAAGCAGGTTTTTGTTGTGGCGCATGATTGGGGCGCGATTATCGCTTGGTCTTTGTGTTCGTTCCGCGCTGATATTGTGAAGGCTTTTGTGTGTCTGAGTGTGCCGTTTAGACCTAGGAATCCGATGATGAAGCCTGTTGAGACATTTAGGAAGGTTTTTGGCGATGATTACTATATCTGCAGATTCCAGGTTAGGTTCTTTGATTTCTTTTGGAAATTTTCATAATCTTAGGGTTTTGAGAGTGCTTTTTCTGTGGTAATTATTCACTTTTGTGTTCATGAACGCCATCGTTTGAGCTTTTGCTGGTTTTGTTCACGTTGTGGAAGAGTTGAACTATGGTTTTCCCCTGTTGCAAATAGTTAAACAGTTGCCTAATAGAATTGATCATGGATGAGTGTTACAAGATCTCATACTCTGGAATCCATATCTGAAATTCATGCTTATATTGATCTGTGTGGAACATTTTTTGTTCATCTTAATCTGTGTCTGAGTGGTTTTAGCATGAGTTTTCGAATAAGATAGGAATTGTTTTTGGAACCTTTCGTAGTGTTTGGTTGAATAATGGAAAGAGATTTTGAAATTTGCAAGAACACCTAGAACAGCTGAAGTATTTAAGTACTACTTTCAAAATTTCTGGTTCAAAATGCTACTCGGAAGAGTCCAGAATTTTCACGGCCCAAGTCCACTACTACTAGATATTGTTTTCTTTGAGCTTTTTCTTTTGGTTTTTAAAACGTGTTTGTCAAGGAGAGGTTTCCACACCCTTATAAAAATGTTTCGTTTTTCTCCCCAACCATGGTAGGATCCCACAATTCACCCCCTTCAAGGTCTAGCATCCTCGTTGGCACTCGTTCCTTTCTCCCATCAATGTGGGACCCTCCAATCCACTCACTTCGGGCCCAGCGTCCTTGCTAGCACACCGTCTCGTGTCCACCCCTCTTTGGGGCTCAGCCTCCTTGTTGGCACATCGCCTGGTGTCTGGCTCTGATACCATTTGTAATAACTCAAGTCCACTGCTAGCAGATATTGTCCTCTTTGGGTTTTCCCTTTCGGTTTTTAAAACGTGTCTGATAGGGAGTGATTTTCACACCCTTATAAAGAATTTTTAGTTGCTGGCACACCGTCTCGTGTCCACCCCTCTTTGGGGCTCAACCTCTTTGTTGACACATCGCCCAGTGTCTGGCTTTAATACCATTTGTAATAACTCAAGTTCACCACTAGTAGATATTGTTCTCTTTGGGTTTTCCCTTTCGGTTTTTAAAACGTGTCTGATAGGGAGTGGCTTTCACACCCTTATAAAGAATGTTTAGTTACTGGCACATTGTCTCATGTCCACCCCTCTTTCAGTCTCAGCCTCCTTGTTGGCACATTGCCTGGTGTCTGGCTCTGATACCATTAGTCCACCGCTAGCAGATATTGTCCTCTTTGGGTTTTTCCTTTCGGTTTTTAAAATGCATGTGATAGGGAGTGGTTTTCACACCCTTATAAAGAATGCTTCGTTCTCATCTCCAACCGATGTGAGATCTCACAAGAATGCACTGAAGTGCTTTGTGAGAAAGCTCTTAGCTCAAGAACTTGACTAAAAGCCCTTTGTGAAAGACTCTTGTGGTGGTTTCGCCAAAGTGGGCCTGTGATGTCCCACATTGGTTGGGGAGGAGAACAAATCACCCTTTATAAGGGTGTGGAAACCTTCCCCTAGCAGACGCGTTTTAAAGCCTTCAGGGGAAGACCGAGAGGGAAAGCCCAAAGAGGACAATATCTGCTAGTGGTGGATCTGGGTCGTTACAGGGCCAATTCATATTGGTGTGTTTTTTTGGTTTGGAATAGAACTATGAAACAACTATACTTGAACAGGATCTGTGTGTTCGAGTTCTAAATAGAGCAATCAAACTTAAGATGTTTGTTCTTTTTTTGTTCTTTTGGCTTATAGAATCCGGGAGAGATTGAAGAAGAGATGGCCGAGGTGGGTGCGAAAGCAAAAGCAGTGTTACAAAGCATATTGACAACAAGAAACCCAGGTCCTCTCATTTTGCCCCCCAAAGGACAAGCCTTCAAAGCCAGGCCTGGATCCCCTCCTCCTCCCTTGCCGTCTTGGCTCTCAGAACAAGATCTTTCTTACGTTGCCTCCAAATATGAGCAGAAGGGCTTCACTGGACCACTGAACTATTACAGATCAATGGACTTGTAAGTCACCCACTACAAAACTCTTGATTTAACCTTCATTATTGTCTTTCTATCTTTCACTCTGGCTTCACTGGACCACTGCTAGTAGATATTGTTCTCTTTGGTTTTTAAAACGTGTTTACTAGGGAGAGGTTTCCACACTCTTATAAAGAATGCTTAGCTCTCCTCCTCAATCGAGGTAGGATCTCACAATTTACTTCCCTTGGGAGCCCAGCGTCCTCGCTGGTACTTGTTCCATTCTCCAATTGATGTGTGACCCCCGAATCTACCTCCGTTTGGAGCCCAATGTCCTTACAGACACACCGCCTTGTGTCCTCCTCCTTTAGGGCTTAGTCTCCTCGCTGACACATCGCTCAATGTCTGGCTCTATTACCATTTGTAACAGTCAAAGCCCATTGCTAGCGGATATTGTCCGCTTTCTCTTTCAGGCTTCCCCCTTAAGATTTTTAAAACACGTCTACTAGAGAGAGGTTTCCACACTCCTATAAAGAATGTTTCGTTCTCCTCCCCAATTGAGGTAGGATCTTACAATCCACCTCCCTTGGGAGCCCAGCATCCTCGCGGGCACTTGTTCCATTCTCCAGTTGATGTGGGACCCCCCAATCTACCTCCCTTCGGAGCCCACACTGCCTCGTGTCCACCCCCTTCAGGGCTTAGCCTCCTCGTTGACATATCGTTCAGTGTCTGGCTCTATTACCATTTGTAACAGCCCAAACCCACTGCTAGCAGATATTGTCCGCTTTCTCTTTCTGGCTTCCTCTCAAGCTTTTTAAAACACGTCTACTAGGGAGAGGTTTCCACACTCTTATAAAGAATGCTTCGCTCTCCTCCTCAATCGAGGTAGGATCTCACAATCCACCTCTCTTGGGGGCCTTGTTCCATTCTCCAATTGATGTGGGACCCCCCAATCTACCTCCCTTCGGAGCCCAGTGTCCTTACAGACACACTGCCTCGTGTCCACCCACTTCAGGGCTTAGCCTCCTCGTTGACACATCGCTCAGTGTCTGGCTCTATTACCATTTGTAACAACAGCCCAAGCCCACTGTTAGCAGATATTGTCCGCTTTCTCTTTCTAGCTTCCCCTCAAGATTTTTAAAACACGTCTACTAGAGAGAGGTTTCCACACTCTTATAAAGAATGCTTTGATCTCCTCTCCAACTGATGTAGGATCTCACAAAATCTAACCAAAAGTCATTTGCGTTCTTGCTTTCAATCTTTCTACAGTTCATCTAGCACCCCATCGGCAAGACAGCTCTAACATCTCATACATTGTACTAACGAAACCGTACTCGTGTCGTAAGTAACAGACTGATTTGTATTTGTAGAAACTGGGAGCTAACAGCCCCATGGACAGGGATGGAAGTGAAAGTGCCAGTGAAATACATAGTTGGAGATGCTGACATTGTGTATACAACACCAGGAGTTAAGGAGTATGTCAATGGCGGAGGCTTCAAGAAGAATGTGCCATTTCTACAAGAAGTTGTGATAATGGAGGGAGTTGCGCATTTTCTCAACCAGGAGAAGCCTGAAGAGATAAACACTCACATCCTTAACTTCATCAAAAAATTCTAGTTTCATTCAACAAAACACAGTGCTTGTCTCTTTGTATGTTTGAGAATCACATATTTTCATGAACCGTTTGTTTGTTTTTTAGATTAACAAGTCATTGTGAACTTTAGCTATTATGAAATTTCTTTACGATTAAGGGTAAGTTCAAAAGTATTTTTGAAATAAATTACCAAACGGTTTCTATTCAAAACTAATGATAAGGGTATTTTTTGTGAGATCTAACGTCGATTGTGGAGGGGAATGAGGATGCTGCACCCAGAGTGGATTGTGAGATCAGTCGGTTGGGGAGGAGAACGAAACCTTCTTTATAAAGGTGTGGAAAATTTCATTTTTTAAAATATTGAGTGAAATTTCGAAAGTGGAAGCCGGAATTGGATGTGGCTCTTTCCTTCCTTTTGCCGCATTTTGTTCAAAGGGTTGAAGGGAGATAGTGCATCAAGTTGTTCGGAAGGGCCAGATCCTCTTCCCCAAGGATCCCAGATGAGAAACCCTAAGAGAGCCGCTGACTACTGTCCATGTACGATCCATACTAGATTTGACCAACTGCCCACCCTATCTCCTCTGCGTTATCCTTCCTTTTGCCACATTTCGCTCAAAGGGTTGAAGGGAGATAGTGCATCAAGTTGTTCGGAAGGGCCAACTTGATCCTCTTCTCCAAGGATCCCAGATGAGAAACCCTAAGAGAGCCGCCGACTACCGTCCATGTACGATCCATACTAGATCTGACCAACTGCCCATCCTATCTCCTCTGTGTTATCCTTCCTTTTGCCGCATTTCGCTCAAAGGGCTAAAGGGAGATAGTGCATCAAGTTGTTCGGAAGGGCCAACTTGATCCTCTTCTCCAAGGATCCCAGATGAGAAACCTTGAGAGAGCCGCCGATTACCGTCCATGTACGATCCATACTAGATCTGACCAACTGCCCATCCTATCTCCTCTGCGTTATCCTTCCTTTTGCCGCATTTCGCTCAAAGGGCTAAAGGGAGATAGTGCATCAAGTTGTTCGGAAGAGCCAACTTGATCCTCTTCTCCAAGGATCCCAGATGAGAAACCCTGAGAGAGCCGCCGATTACCGTCCATGTACGATCCATACTAGATCTGACCAACTGCCCATCCTATCTCCTCTGTGTTATCCTTCCTTTTGCCGCATTTCGCTCAAAGGGTTGAAGGGAAATAGTGCATCAAGTTGTTCGCAAGGGCCAATTTGATCGTCTTCCCTAGGGATTCCAGATGAGGGAACCCTAAGAGAGTCATCGACTACCGTTTACAATCCATACTAAATCTATCCAACTGCCCATCCTACCTCATCTCCATTCCTGACGGCCTTTTAGTGTCTTTAATTTTAAAAGTTTTGAGATAAAATTATATTTTTATTAATTTAGTTATATATATATATATAATAAAAACAATATTTTTTTTGTTTTAATTGTTATTAAAAGTACTATAAGAATTTATTTATTTACATAATAGGAATTAAATATAAAAGAAGAAAATATGATCCTATATCAAATTTAAATATCAGATATAAGAAATGTAATCCGTCAAATTTAATTATTTTTTTAATTTTTTTTCACATTTTAATTAAATTATTAATAAATAGTAAAAAAAAAACAATAATATATTATGATAAAATAATATTAAAGATTTAAAAAAGAATAAGAAAATGATTTGTAATTACAAAAAAAATCAATAAAATTTTGAAATCACACCAAAATTTTATAAAAGTTGTCAAAATTAAATCAAAATTATAATTTTTTTAAAAAATTTTAAAATAGATTTTAGTTTATTTAATAAACTTGTAAAAAAAAATATCAAACGAAAAAATGGTAGTTTATGTGAAGTTAATAAAAAAAATTAATTTTAAAATTTTGGATTTTTTTTTTAATATAAATTTCCTTTTTTTGTCGGCCAATCAAATCCTTTTATTTAATTACTTAAAAAAAATAGTTTTTTTACCTCAGAGAAGTTACAAATATATCAACAAATCTTCTGTTTATTATCAAGTAAAGCATCTTCAAATCTTCGTTTCTCGACGTCACTCTGATCAAACCTTGTAACGCTCTCGACGATAGCAAAGAGATCGACGACAGACAAATCTTCGTTTCCAAACAAACGTCTCTCGATCAAACCTTGTAATGCCCATCTCGACAACAGCAAAGAGACCAACAACAAGGCAAATCGTAAGAATATTGTTCTTGTTTTTTTTTTTTTAATTTTGTTTTTTATTCTGTCATGTTTGTATGTTTTTTCTTTTTCGTTTAATTTCAAAATAATAATTAGAATTATTAAAAAATAAAAGTTTAAAAATTAAATATTTAGAGTGATTAAATAAAGAAAAATAAATGAAGTAAAAATATTTTTAATTTATTATTTTATATTAAATTTTTTTTTAAAAAAAAAAATACATACTCTATTTTATTTGATATTTTCTATTTTTTTATCGTTTTTTTCTTTGACAGATTTTTTAAAATATATTGAAAAAAAATTGTTTTAATTTTAAAAAAAATTTCAATTTTTTTACTTTCAAACTTTTATTGAAATATTTAAATTAATATTTAATATGATAATATATATTAAATATAAAAAGAATATATTGATTGTATTTGATAAATTAAATGCTAAAATAAATAAATTATAGAATATTTTAAATTAGGATAAAATAATAAAATATATATTTTTTCTAAATATATATTTCTCTCCATTTTTAAAAAAATTTAAACTCTTTATTTATTTGTTATATTGTATTGATTTTAATTATTTTTTTAAGATAATAAAATTTTCATAATTAAATATTAAATAGAACTTTTATAAATATAATTATTATTTTATTTATTTATTTGCTATATTTGATTTTTTTTTATTTCGATTTATATATATATATTTTTATTTTTTTTACATGAGGAAAATAATAAAAAGATAATACTGAGCTCCCCGAGAGTATTATTGAAATTATAATCTCCAAAGTTATGAATGTCAATTGTTCGGTGTTAAGGCTGGTTTGTAAAGAATGGAACGACATAGTTATTTCAAAATTCTTTCCGAACTCTTTTTTGGTTTGTACTCGACAGCTTAGAGTCCCTCGAGTTTTAGGTGCACGAATGGAATACGATTTTAGTATGCGTTGCTTAGAGTTTGATCAGAAGTATCGTCAAGGTATGAAAACTGTTGCTTCGTTTCAATTTGGTTCTTACGATTGTCCCGTTACCGTAATTGCAAATTCATGCCAAGGGTTATTATGTATTGTCCATGGAAGCAGATGCTTTCAAACTTATATTAGCATTCTAAATCCCATGATGAGTGAGTGCATTAATCTTCCCGGATATGAACAAGAATGTTATTGGTATGGATTTGGGTTCAGCACGAACCTCAAACAATATAAAGTAGCGAGAATTTGTGAGAGCAATGTTGAGATTTTTATTTTGAGAAAAAGTAGCGGATGGAGACAGGTTGACTATCTGCCTTTTCATGTTAAAAAAGATGGGGTTTACTTCGACGGAGGACTTTATTGGATTGGCACGAGAGGAAAGAAAAAAAGGTTATGTCGTTTGGACGTTGAACATGAAAAATTTGACATAATTGATGTTCCAAAATTAGCTGATTATGTCACGATTGGCGTTTTTAACGGCAATCTCTACGCTAGTATTATGGAGATAGAACAACCTTTTAAGATTGAGGTGTGGATGATGCAAAGCTATGGAGAAGAGAATAGCAGATGGACGTTAGGATTTGTGATTGATCGATCACAGACATTTGAAGATTCGATGTCTTTCGAGATTCCGTGGAAGGACGTGGTTCAGCTTATTAAAACAGATAACAATGAAGAGATTTTGTGTCTGTTTAATCAAACATATTTGTTCTTGTATAATATAAGGACAGGAAGAACAAAATCATGGTTCGAACCGACAGGTGAATGTTTTTGGGTTTATCCTATCGAATCCATAAATTTCGATTGTTTTAGTAATATTTTTGTAAATGGTTCTTAATCTTAGGTTAATTATATTTTCAGTTGTTATTAAAGTTTGTAATAGCTATTAGTTTGAATTTTAAATTTTATTTTTGTGTGAATTTTTTTTATTATTCTAATTCTTTAAAAACTTTAATATTTATTTATAAATTAAATAATTATTATTTTAATAAAAAAATTCAAAAATACTCTAATAAAACTTATTTAAAATCATAATTAATATATGTTTGGTTCAAAAGAATAAGTCGATGACTCAATATGCGTCCATTCCGGCCGGGTCCTGCAAAATATGCGTTCATTCGGGCCGGGTCTTGCAAAAAATCTCTGTTTCGTAGCGTTATCATGGACAATGGAGTTTATAATACGAACAATAGAGCTCCTTGCTATTTTGTATTGCTCAAAATTTTTGCTATATGTCTCTTTGATCAAACATATTTCTTTTCGTATAATATAAAGGTAGGCAGAACAAGAACAAGTACATGTTCGAACAAAGACGAAAGTTTTTGAGTTTATTCTCGAAGTTGTAAATTTTGATTCTTTTAATAGTATATTTTTTTTATATATAAATTTCCTTAATTTTTATTGATTTTATGGATAAGGAGATATTTAAACAAGGTTAATTATGTTTTCTTCTTTAAAAATTTAACATTTATTTATAAATTAAATAATTATTACTTTAACAGAAAAAAATGTAAAGTTATTAAATAATTATTACTTCAACAAAAAAAAATGTAAAGTTAATTATGATTTTTTAAGAATGAAAAATAGAATTGGGATCTAAAAGTGCGCTATCAAAATCCTCTCCGATTCAATTTTCATTATTCACAATAATCTTAATACATCATACCAACTAACTAATAATGAAGAAAATATAAACTAATTAAATCTTGAAAATAAAATAAAATATACTTACTCATCAAATCATTACTAAGAAGATATTTGATTGAAAATTTACTTGAGATATTTTTAAATTTTGAAAATGGAAAGGTAAGTTTTAATTTAACAAAAAAAAACATATAAATTTATATTATATAACTTTAAAATATTTTTGATATTTCAAAAAAAAATTTAAAAATACTATAATACAATTTATTTAAAATCATAATTAATATGTTGAAGCTAATAATAGAAGTTTGAATGAGTTAGTACGAAAGAGAAGGAAGAGGTGAATTCAATTTCA